TTGGAGTATTGCGTGAATTTACCGCCTGTTTAGTCAAAAAAAATCTGCCCTTTCGTTGATCTCAATGCCTTTGTGACCGGGTATCCAACAAATTATTATCTTACTATTTGGCATGTTTTTGTAAATTTCATATCGAATATTCTCAATTATGTTGTTATTTGAATCTTCGAATGAGGCAATAGCTTCTACTGCCGCAAGACTGTTAGTGAAAATTATCGTCGCTTCGGAAAGTTTAGCTAGATATTTCAAAATGTACCAAATTGCTGAAACTTCCGCGGTGTATATAGAAGCATTTCTTACAATCTTGATGGCTCTGTTAAAGGTATTTTTTGATTGGTTATTCCAAAACCAGTTCCGTCCAAATTTTTGGAACCGTCTGAGCCCCATACGTTTTCTGCTTTAACATCTGCAGTCAAATTTTTAATAAAAGGAGCGTAATCAGTGACAAAATCGTGGAGATTCTTTAAATCGATGTTACACAGTTTCCTAAAGTTTATCCAAGGCGGAATCCGTTTCTTTTGATGGACAACGTTCTTATCTAAAATCCATTTAGATTCATAGCTGTCAAGATCAACTCTTAAATCCTTTCTTTCTTTCTTAAACCTTCCACCTCTAGTGGCGGGGAAAAAATAATCGGCTCCCTGAAATTTTTTATTTATGATAGATAATATTCTTTGCCATTTTTTTATCTTATTGTAATGCGGAATTGCTTCAATTCTCCTAATTACGTCGTTGGGAGCCAAATGACTTACCCCTAAGGCTTTTCTAATCGCTTTATTGATGTAAATATCGTACTTGTTTTGGGAGGAGATATATTCTCCCCATCTGATTTCACATCCGTATATGAGTTGGGGAATCATGATTTGCTGGATGATCTTTAGTAAGTTTTTTGTTCTCATTCCTTGAGTTGGGTGAGAGAGGATTTTGATCAAGTTTAAAGTGTTATTTAATCTTTTAACTAGATAAGCTTCGTATGCACACCAACTGAGGTTGTGTTCGAAAATAACGCCAAGTATTTTATGCTCTTTTTTCCATCCAATACTGAGATTACCTATTCTGATGGGGGAAGAGTATTTCTTTCTTTCTCTTGAAAAGTCAATTAGTGTTGATTTTTCAAAGGAGAAAGCAACCTTATTTTCAGCAGACCAGCTAATGATCTTTTTGAGAGTGTCTTGTAAGCAGGAATACCGGTTGTCCTTCCTAACAGTAACATGCACGTAGATATCATCAGCGTAAATGAAAAGCTTGGTGCTCCTATCATTCAGTTTACAAAGATCCAACATAAAACAATTGTAGAGGAAAGGCGATAAAATGACTCCTTGTGGAAGGCCCTTGGACATGAGCTTATCTGTTGATAGGATAGATCTCCACTTTACAGAAATAGTACGATTAGTAATAAAATTGTAGATCCAACGCACCAGGGTAGTGTTCATGCCCATCTTTTCTAGCCTTTCAATCAAAATCTCATGTTGCACGTTATCGTAAGCTCCTTTGATATCTAAGCAAATTAAGTAATTATCCAGATTTCTGTTTCTGGCTGGCCAGACAGAATCATAAATATCTCTAAGACAGTCAGTTACGCAAATGCCTTTTCTAAAGCCATAAATATTTGAAGGAAAAATTTTTTCTGTGTCAGCCCACCACTCTAAGCGGCGCAGGATTATTTTTTCAAGGGTTTTCCCAATGATAGACGTTAAAGAAATTGGCCTGTAATTTGCAATCTGTTTCCCGTTTTTATTCGGTTTTAAAATCGGAACAACCCAGGAAGTTTGCCAGATTGTAGAAATATTACTTGATTGCAAACTTTCATTATACATCTCAAGAAGGGCTTTCTGCGTATATTTGGCGGCGACCCTCAGACTTTTGTAAGAAATTCCATCGGGACCTGGGGAGGAGTTTTCTTACTCCTTAGTGCGCTCATTAATTCTTTGGCGGAAATTGGCTCAATATTAGCCAAAGGAAGGTCGATAGGAACCGGCTGGTTAGTATTGCCATTGACGCTGTAATATTCCACGAAAAAATCCGCCTGGGCAGCCTTGTCTAATACATCTGCGTTAGAGTGAGTGATCACGAAATTAGCTTCCAAAGGAGAGACCAATAGATATTTTTTAAGGTTTCTTACATTTCTAAAGACTTGCTTGCAAGAATAAGCTTCATAGGAAATCCTTGCCCAGTACTTTCGTTTTGCTTTTATTAGCTCTCTTTTGTATTTAGCGTTTGCACCCTTATACTCCACCCAGTCGCTAAATTAAGTGATCTTAGTGCCCTTCTTTTCAACTTATCTCTAAGATGTTTGAATTTGGCGCACTCCAAACTGAACCATGGGTTTTTTGGCTCGACCTTGTAGGTGATTTCTCTGGAGTGTGTCTTGATAGTACTGTTAATTACAGTGGTATAAGCGTTAACTTTATCCTCCATATTACCAGCGTAGCTCACAGGCAAACGTGACAGAGATGTAATGACATCTCGCCAATTTGTATAGCTTTTAGTTTTCCCAGGTCTCTTCTTAAAACTATGATTAAAATTAAGATACACAGGGAAATGATCACTTTGACCCGCATCATCAAGTCTCTGGAACGACAGCTTGGACGCGATATTGACATTTGCCATACAAAAGTCGAGGATACCTCCTTCTTGGCCACGACAAATATGAGTAGGTTTCTTATTATTTAGAATGATCATATTAGAGTCAATTAGCCAATTCATAAACTTTTGACCGCTGGGCGATGTAATACTATCTCCAAAATTTCTATGGCGAGCGTTGAAATCGCCAACCAAAATCGTGAAAGGATCCTTAAAGGAATCCAAGACCATTGAGTCTTCTGGTTTAAATCTTCCGGAAGGCCTATAGCAATTTACTATAGTAAATGTTTTACCGTAAGCTTGCACTTTGATACTTAGAACTTCCATGTCAGATTTAATTCCAGTATCTGGAAGTTTGGAAACAGGTAGATTTTTTAACACAAAAATGGCAAGGCCACCGCCTTTACTGTGGAAAATTCTTTCTTTTAAAAAACTGTTATATCCAGAGAGGAAAGGAACCCTAGGGTTCCGACTCCAGGTCTCCTGGAGACACACAATTGAAGGTTTTAACCAAGAAACAAAAGAAGACAAGAAACTCAAGTTCGCCTCGAAGCTTCGACAATTCCAACTTAAGATAAAACACATGAAATTAGAAAGTATCATCATCAATTTGAGGAATTTCCTCTTCTTGAAGCGTGTCTGGCCCATTATTCCAAGATATCAGAGGAGTAACCTCCTGAATAGTATTCAAATTTAGATGTTCTGTTTGAAGATTTTCATATGCAAGGCAGGTCTTTTCAAGATCCTCCTTGTTTTTTGGATTTGTTTTAGGGAGTTTTCATACAGGCTTCTAAGTTTTGTATTTTCTGTTTTAAGTTTGTTATTAACTTCCTTAAGATTTAAATTATCTACATAAAGAGAATCAATTTTCCTTTCGAGATTTTCTAATCTTGCGACTATCTTACTTAAACCATTTTCACCTGGTTTCTCCGATACCGCGCCTTTAGTATATTTATTTATATTGGTGTTAGTAGAGTTTTGTTCTTCCTCTTTCTGGATAACTTCTGCCCAGGAACAATAACTGGAATTCTGGAGAAGTCTTTTCGATGAAGATTCACGCTTCTGACCGTTCGCTTCCCCTTTTTTGATATTTATTTTTGGGCAAGATTTGTATAGAGCATTATGCTCACCTCCACATCTATAAAGCAACTGGTGTTATTTTTAAATGGGTCGTTGCAGTCATTTTTACCACAGTTCGCACATCTTGCTTTGCTTTTGCAGAGTTTCGACTTGTGGCCTATATTACAGCACTTGTAGCATATTATGGTATTTTCAATATATTTCCTTACCGCAAAATTTATTCGACCTATTTTGATATCAGACCGATAACAGGAACCAAGTTCCTTAATCAGAATTATTGGCACCTTTTCGTCCGACCTTGGCTTAGTAAATCTTATAATACATGAAAATTTAATCTCACTTTCTTCTAGGCCAGCTGCTATGTCTTCTAAACTAAGTTGAGTATCAACATTTTTAATTACTATATGTTTAGTTGTATATACGTATCTTCAATTATTTAGTGGCCTTTACTCCGACACCTTCCAAGGATTTTACTTTACAGACGTTTTCTATTGTTTTGATTCTTTTCGTGGAAATGATGATTTTTTTCTCTCTCGTGATGTATATATTATCTTCTTTATTAGTAATTTCGTTTAAAATAGAACCTTTTTTTGAGCAACTTACCTAATCGGGATACCAGATTCAATTGCCTTCAGAACAATTTTTATTACCTCTTTGTGCCATTTTTAAAAGCTAATTTGACCTTGTCAATAGGGGTTGTGTCCGCGCTATAAAAGTTCCCATTTGTTTTCCTCTCTTTATTGCTGCCACTGTCCATGTCACTACCTGTTTTTCGCTTGAGTTCGTTAGGCATAACCCCTAACGATTCTTCTGGAAACAGAATACATTCGAAATACTGGAAAAACCCGTAGAAAATATAAACAAATAAACTTATCGCCGAAAGAAAAACTTTTCCGTGTCAAAAGCACTCAAGTCTACTCAAATTTCCATTCCGATAAATTCCAGCCAACAAGATTTTCCTAACCCAATTTTTTTCAAAACACCGATATTTCAACGACGATCATACTTCCACAAAATTTTCAAACAGCAACCTCCTTTAACCCTGACAAGCACAAAACCATCTCAGACGTCATTTGCGATTTTTTGCCGACTTCTTTTGTTACTTGAGTTGAAAATTTTCTGGCAACACTGCGCAGAACAATGATTTTTAACATTAAGTCTAGTCATTCAGATAGAAAAGACTGTTAAAAGAATTAATTTACATTTTAAATATTACGGAAAAAAGTAAAACAATTGAGATATTAATAATGTTCTTACGTTACACAACTATCGAAGAAAAATACGAAGAAAATGAATAAAACGAAAATAAAAATAAGAGCAGTTGCAATACATCTCAACATACCATATCTTGAAAGTTTACCCTTGGTGAATTGTAATCGTAGTGTTAATTTTAAATAACCTTTTCTATTCGACGTTGCTGAGATAAATATGGCATTTCGTTCCTTCGTACAAAAGTATATTGCAACTCCAGGTGTTAAAAAGTGGTTTTTTAATCACAGTGGTTATAATAAATTAGGTTTGTACCGTGATGATTTACTTTACGAAACTCCCGAAGTACAAGAAGCTATTCGTCGCCTTCCTCAGGAGGTTTACGATGCAAGAATGTATCGCATTCAGCGAGCTCATCAGCTTCAAATTAATCATAGTATTTTACCACAAAATGAGTGGACAAAGTTTGAAGATGACCAGAAAAATCGTTACTTGGAGCCTTTGTTGAAGGAAGTTGAACAAGAGAAAAAGGAGCGAGACTTATGGGCCAAAACTCATTAAAGGTCTTCATAGAAATTGAACTACTGAATTTTCATGCAGTCCCTGTTCATTTTTCAGAATAGTGTAATCTTAAAATGAATCAGGAATTGAAATTTCTATTTAGTGTAAATAAAAGCCATTAGTTAATCAAATATTTGAAGATTTTGTTGCTTTTTCCTTTAAAAGTAATTATATTAATGCGGTTAATTTGATGTTATCTTCATGTTTTCAGTGTTACGCAATTATTGACATATGCATTAAATCATCTCTTTGGTGGTTCGTTTTTCTAATTTAACCTGTAAAGAATATCTTCATTTGTGGTTCCAGTTTCTAAATTGTCGTAATCTGTATACTTTGAAATTTCAGATTAGTTTTTTGGGAATTAATTATGTTAAAAATTGAAATAAATTTGGAATAAATGTCTTTTTCTTGTAAGGTTGTCTTTCAGTTTTAAAACGTTAAGTGATAATTGCTTAAAAGTATTTAAAGTTTCATATACTAAATCATCATAAATGACATGAAATAATTTCATCACATTGCTAGAGCAGTTGAGGAAATGTAAGCTGTTATAGGTAGTTAAACTGTTTTATCTGATTTCATATAATTATTATATGTGACGCTAAATACTGAAGCAAATGGTCATGTAGTGGTATTTTTTTTCATCTTCATTATCTATCTAAATTATTAATAGTATTGAATTTATGATAATCTCATTTATTTTAAAATATATAAAATAGTTCCAACAAATCAGCTGGTTGAAATTTTCATGCTGTTTGAAATAAAGTTTATGTCTGATGATATCAAGTATGTTTATGTATGATGATATCAATTTTTTTAGCAAATAGTTAAAAGCTTGGAAAAAGTTCATGCATTCTTTCCATTAAAATGTATTAATTAAAAATTTTAACTAGTATTAAATGGGTCTGTTACTATCATGAGTTAACCTCTTTAAATGGTGATCAAATGAAATTTTTAATGGTACTCAAAATATTAATTACTAAACTGTGAATTCTGTGTGTTTAAAATTACATTAAAGTATGCTTGGTTCAGTGGCATAGCCAGTTTTAGCCAACCCTCTGGATATACAAATGAATAATAAAAAATTTCAAAATGAAATGAATGAGAATGGTATATTTATTTCTGGGGAGGGGGACCACTTTAATTCCAACATTTTAAAATTATATTATTTATAGCCGAAATGGCCTATTAGTCTCGAATGGGCTTTGGTGGTATATCACTTTTCAAATTGTTGCTGTGAAATATTATCGTCTTGTATTACTTTTAAAGAAATTAATAAATGAAGAATCTGCATAAATGTATGCATGTTTCTTGCACTCTGGGAAAAATTATGATATTTAGTGTTAACCATCAAATTTTGAATAACATAGTCTCTCTTCCGAACATGTACACCTGGAAGCTTGAATTTTATATTCCATATTTTGTAAACCTTTAATGAATTTTATACAAACTCGGTGATTTGAAAGCAAGCAGTGGCAACACTATATGAATTAAAACATTGTTATCTCCAGTGCTTTAGACTGTATATCGGAAATTCTAAAGATATGCTTGTTTTAAGTATTTTGAGATTTTGCTATTCAACTGAATTTTACATGCCATAAGTGCAAACAATGTGATATTTAATTAATAAATTTATTGCACAAAATGTTAATAATAAAGAGCTAAAAAAAATTCTGCAAACTATCTTACTAAGAAAACTATACATCGATATGATAAACTGAGAAATGCCTGAAAGCATAGAAAAATGCATGCTGACACTTAACACTTCATTGGCAATTCTAAACACATGCTGCTTTTAAAATTCTTGTAATTTTGCTGTTCAAGTGTATCTGGCATAAGCACAAAGAAAATTATGCTTAATAATAAAGCTAAAAAGAAATGGGTTAGCAGGAGTGAGTGCAACAGCAAACTGGTAGACCGAGAGCTTAGAAAAACCTTAACAAACCCTCCTAGGCAACTGTTAAAATCTTAGTCCTTTCAGATTTTTGTTTGTTTGCAAAACCATTAGTGACATTGTAGAAGCTTATCTGATTTTTCTTGCTGTAGTAGACAGAGAAAGTTTTTTTGGATGCAGAATGTATGTTTGTCTTTAATACTTCTTAAGTGATTTTTATTTAGATAAGGCTTCTCGTAACTGACAGTACTTACAGAAGTTGGGAGAAAAGTTTGCACTAATAAATTACAATATTTGAAAGTTTGTTCCGAAGATAATATCTTAGAATAAATTTCAAAAGGCAGCTCTTCCACATTCCTGTTTTGATTTCCCTAGCAGTAATGGAAATAAAACTCTGAAATACTTCTTTCTTAATGAGGAATTTTTCTTTATGAATCTCTGTGATCATAATTTAGTTATTCGTAATTTGCATTCGAAAGCTTTGATGGAATAAAAAAGGTATAACAAAAGTATGTAGCTGTTGATATCATTTAAGGATTTCTTGGAATATTTTATATAGTGTAAAAACTGTTTTTCTCAGTTTAATTCTATATGGCAAATTAGAATCTAATTATTTTTCACCTGAGTAAATGTAAGAACTGCTTGCTACCCCTAAAAATAGGTCATGGATGTAAGAAAGGAAGAAGGGGGGCCAACCCCGCACTATGAGTGAAGCACTGCTTCGAGGCTTCAGTCTCCAGATGGAATGTTTTTTGTTTATATTAAGAAGCTCCCTTGACAGCGTTTTGATAGTATTTGGACATGTGACAGTTTCATAACAATGAAAGGAAACATTCATTGTGTGATGGATAATAGCAATTTGTATAGTTTAGTGACAAATCACATCTTAGTTATTTTTCAATAACTAACAATAGCAATATTAATTATGAATTTGTTTTATAAAATTGTAACTTGTTGAACTACAAAATGTAGATTGTAGTAAAAATGTTATGCTTAAAGAATGAAAAATACCTTATAGTACATTTAAAATTGTATACATCTTTCGATACCCTTGATAGAGTATTCGCTACTTTATGTTATGTTCCAAACGCCAAAATGTTTTAAATAAAATTAATTTTTTTGTCATCTACATATTATTGTAACATGTACTTTTTAAAAATTTTTAGAGAAGCTTTGCTCATTTTAAACTCATCATTTTTTATATAACTAAAAAATAATCACGTTGGGTGTACACTTTTTACTTATTTGGGTTAATTAAAAAATAAAATTACCACCAAATGCTGCAATGATCATCAAAATGTATGTGTATTTATGTATATGCTTGCAAAAAGTGTGTATCTGCCTTTAGCAAAATGCATAAATATTTATAAATATATTTGAAATGAAGGATTTATTCATTCATAAACTCATGTGAAAGTCAACTGTGAATAAATCTAATTATTAAATGAATCTAAATTTATAATGATTATAGATAAAATTATAAATCTGATAAGCATAATTAAAAGAATTATTCTCTTTCAGAAATATTCAGCGAAAGTTAAGTACGTGGAAATGAGCTCCAATATTTAACATATTTTGCTATTAAAATAAAAGGTGTCCTAATTTGAAATGGTCTGAATAGAGCATTAATCATAAATTGACATAGACTTTTGGATTTAAAAGATGCCTCAGAAGCTAAAAAAATCATGTCATATTTGAAAAAGTATTTTAGGAAGAAGCTCTATAAATAGAAAAGAAATAATGCATAATTTTAGTATTAATAATAAACTTTGATCTTAGTTTTTTGTGATCCTTAGCCGAATAAAATCGAATTACCTTCAATTTTTTTTTCTAATGTAATTAACGAAAACTTGTGAAAATACTTCATTCAAATGAAAGTGTTCTGGGAAAATTATAGCATTTAATTCTATTCAAAATGAAATTTTGTCTAAATATGTATTCTTTTCACATACTTAGGACTCTTGAAATATTGCAGAAAAAGAAAATATATACATTTATATGTATATCTACAATGTAATTATAAAGTATTTACATCTGATTGTGTCAAAACCGATTGATCTTAATGGTAAGTCACTGAATGTTTTGGTCACCACAAAAGGATCGCCAGTGCTTCAAAGCAGTCTATGGGAAAAACTGGTTAGGGCCTTTCCTCCTACTTCCTAAACTCGGTGGTGTAACAGCCCTAGTGAACTACGGCCTACAGTTCCTTTTTTCTGTTTTCTTGATCTTTGGGCCCCGAACTGTATCAGCATATGCCGTGGGCAAGTGGTCAGCTCCTTGCAGGCCCTCCAGTGTTTAGTCCCCAAGCAAACTTGGTACTCATTTTATCGACCGACTTGACCTTTTCACGTGGGCTCGAAAAATAGTTGTGTTCCTTCACTGGGGGCTCTTCGCTCAGCAGATATAAAAAGGGGGGGAAATGTTCAGATCGAGTCTTAACGACGAGGTGATTAGTGCTCTTTTGTTGGCAGGCAGAGAAATGGTCAGTATTTATTTTCGGTCTAGCTCCAAAGGTCTAGGCGTTAGAATGAGGGATGTATTCTAATCGCTTTCACACTGCAGGTAGATGTATACAGTTTTCCCACGAAACACAATTTATTTTTTATTTTCAGACGAAATGTTTTATGCTACAACTAGACAATTTTGTTCATTTTTTGGTTAAAATAACTTTTTAAACTTGCACATAGGTTATATACTGAAAAATAAGCGAAGTAATCAGGGTTACCTATATTCACTTGTCACAGTATAGAGAATTTAGTGATTTAAAATATTCAAACATATCCTTCAAGCAATATATAGATTTTCGTTTTAAGTATTATGATTATTCCGATATTGAAGAGCAAATTAATATAGTTTAATTATTACAAGTGTCATTTAGAAAGCAGTTTCGAAGTTAGAAAGCATTTTCAGTTCTCAAATGAGTGTTATTGGATTTACACTTCTGTAAAATTCATTTCTGGAGAAAAAGAAATTGGTAACTGCGTGTGTGCTGCATTGAATCATTATTGAACAACGCTAACAAAAATTTACCAATGCACGAAGTAAGAATTTTTTTAAATAAATTTTTCTTCCATGTGACGTTGTAAATAGCGTTCCCAGGCTTGATCTGCCTTCATATCAGGGTTATATAATATCTTTAAATTTTTTAACCGCTTCACAATTTTTGGTTCGGTAAAGAAATGCAGAAGCAAACCCTGGAGGTTTCACCACTTAGAGATATTATAAATTACTTTTACCTTAAAATAGAAGGGAAATAGTTCGTCGATTTTATTGTTGCTGCATTTTTTCTCTAAAAGCAAAATTGCATATTCAGCAACCCATTAAAAATTCAAAAAATAAAGATTTTTGTTGAATGGAGAAATATTTCTTCAGTTTTTAAGATCTACGTTTTCAGAATGCTAAAATCGCCTTTAAGGTATCAGATTGTTATGCAAAATTTTCAGATCTCAAGCTTTTTATCGTTGCTCTCTTTTGGAGTAATGAAGCTTGGAATGAAGATTCTTACTGAGTTGATGAATATTAA